ACGTCGTTTCTTGCGTTTTTTTAATGAGCGTGAATGGATCATAGTCGCGGTTCCCGATTGTGCGTTTAAACGCGTTTTTTGAAATTTTTGTCTGCTTGGGTATCAGCTGGTGTTCAACAAAAAATAGTTTTTATCGAAATTTTATCATTGTGATATTAGTTGAATAGTAATCAAATAGCATGGAAAAATAGAGCGCAAGACGCTCTATTTGTTCATAAAAAAAGAAAATTTCTCCAAGCCTTCTATACGAAAATAAGGTATTTGGGCCTTATTTTTGGTATGATCTAAGTACACTTGCAGTTTTTCTGCCAAAGAAAATTCTGTCATTCGATAGTCTTTCTTTCTGACATTGCCTATTAAAAAAAAAACATTTTACGCTGTCGTTAAAATATTTATATTTGTTATGCTAAAGTCACTCATTCACTAATGTTAGAATTCGAGCAATGACTAAAATCGAATCTTTGCGAGATATCATGTTTTTCTTTGCAAAATCTGCTGATTGGAAACTGTTGACTATTGGTAAAGAATAACTGTATTGACACTCACATTTTTTTAGAGCATTGTGTTTCTTGTACTACCTATTCCATACCCCGGTTATATCTAATATGAAATTTGTACTTCGCACTGAAAAAAATAATTAATAATTTTGCACTTCTCAAATTAAAATTACGTAATTCAAATAATATCCACGAGAGTTTTAAGCTATAGTTGTAGCGCATATCAATTAGTTTTAATCATATTGAATTTCGATCTACAATTATTACGATACGTACTCGACAGTTAGATAACTATAACTTGGTTATTATGACATCGCAATCATGCTCCAACAATTGGTCGATTTGTAGACTGAAGTCGATTTCAATAATCGTTATTATCGCAAGTATCTTGGTCATTATTCCGTATGTTACACAGAACCGAAAACTACTTAAGGATGCCTTCAACATTGATTTACTACAAATGAGAATCTGTCAAGACGATAACAAAAACCACTCACAATTAAGAAAGATCATTTGCGATCTAAAGCATACAGACTCAAGCACAATGTTGATGATTAATAAGAATCAGTCTCTTGGTGATTATGGATTTGCTCGACTGAACTCACTTTTTCTTGGAGAAAATGGCTCTTTGGAAACGACTGTCAGATGTGTTGGTTCTTTACGCAATCAATCATGTCTATATAAAAACTTATACTACATTAATAGTACTTTCATGGTTGCGATTATAAAAGGACGAATTTTACCAATACTTGCCGTGCGCGTCTTTTCATTTGGAACGGAAACAGTTACACCAAGAATCCGAGAGTTTGATTCATATTCGGAACTTGAAAAGTTCATTCGTGATTCGGTTGACCCTATAGTATTACCTGGTGTTACTTTGTTTTTAAAATTTCCATGGCTTGGTAACATTGGTCATTCGCTCTTTGATGGACTATATCCTGCCTATGTTGCATTAATTCATTTTCCACCTAGACATCTTCACCCATTTCGTTTGCTTTGTGCCATAGACGAATGTAAAAATTGTCAGGATGAAGATATACTCAATCGATTTGCTGGTCTCGGTATTATTAAGCACTATGTTCTAAATGATATGTCATATGGAAATTGGCTTGTTTTTGATGAGTTTGTGATGGGTGGTGGCATGATGTGTCAGCGATGTACACAACCTAATCTACAATTACCTGGAGGAGTCGAATTGGATGGTTCTAGACTGTTTCGTGATCGACTCTATGCTCAACATGGAGTCATTCCACCGACTAGACGATACAAAAATTCTGCAGAAGGTCGAAATCGACACGACGTACTCCATGCTTATATAATAGATAATAAACGCTTCACCAATATCGACAGGAAAGAAATCAATGCTGCGATAAATGAAGTTAACAACTATACTATTGCCCATCAAAATAAAAACATAACTGATATTAACAAATTAGATTGGCCACTTTTAAATGTCTCATATGTATATTATGGCTCAATCAAAGGTCGAAAAAGGAAATCATCTCGGTTCAATGCAACTCCAATAGATGCAAGATCACCAACGTATGAATTGATAGAAACCCATTTCACGGGCCAGCTACGATTATTGCGCACTACGGATATTCAAATCACAGGACCTGGTACAGGTTCAATGTATCAATCATTCGTGCCGGATGGATCAGTGGTCATCAATGTCGGTGGCTTAATACCATTGACACCAAAAGACCAAAATATAACGTATACAGGGTATATGGAACAGTACATGGCATCTGGCGCACCCTATCTCAAGGCCCTCTATTATCCGATTAATGAAAGACCAAAAGGAATAAAACGAGAAGAATTAGTAAAACTCATTCGAGAAGCAGCTAAACTCATCATGAACGGCTTTTCTATACCCGTAAACCCGACA